GAAAGAAATTCCTTATGGTTTAATGAAGATGTGCGGCTTGATAAAGATGACTTGCGATATAAAATCATGCGGAAAACTGTACTCGACCGAGGTCAAAGCAACAACCATCAGAATGGGGTGGATCTTCGTGATTTCCTTTCGGATTTCCCTCAATTTACCTTTCAGTAGCAGATTTCGAACCTCCATCTTTCTCTCTAGGGCTTAATTTCGACATTGATTCAGAGCCCCAACCCATTGACAATGAAAATTTCGCGAGACAATAAAGATGAATCAGTGGAGAATTGTGGTTGTATTCATGGAGAAAGACTGGCGCTGAGAGAGAGAGAGAGAGGGGGTGGAGAAAAATCTGAAAGAATGAGAGAGAAAAATAATGCAAAGCGTATTTTATAGCTTAAGGGTAGGAGGTAACCATAACTAGATATTTGGCTATAAAAATAAAAAAGTAGCTATGCAATATAATTTTTTAAAAGGGTATTTATTTTAAATAAATAAAGTATCAACCATTGCTATAGGAGATAAAAATTCCTATTAAAATGGGGCAAGCATTCATGCCCGTAAAGGTAAGCAGTTACATATACAAAAGTGCTATAGTACCCATTCTATCATGAACGCTCGTTGTAATCGAGCTTTTTACACGATTGCTCCCTATGGCCAAAATTTTACGGTATAGTCAGTTTTCGGACTGGTCAATCAAAAATAGCCATCGTTTATCAAGTTAATAAAAAATAGCCACCGTTTTGCTGCAATAGAGACCGGTCCAGCATAATATACTGGAGTTCGGTGCACTTGTGTATGAACTCCAGCATATTATGCTGGACTGGTATACTTTGCTGGCTCCAGTATAATATACTGGAGACTGGAGCATTGGTGCTCCAAACTCCAGTATATTATACTTGATCATTATACTTGCTGGAACTCCAGTATATTATGCTGGAGTTCTAGTGTATTTATACTGGAACTCCATCATATTATGCTGGAGTTCCAGCATATCCTAGTCATATTATCTGAACTCCACGTATAATATAGCTGNTTTTTAACCCGTTACCGAACCGTTAACCCAATAACCCAATACCGATAACCCAATAAATAATTAACGGTTCGGGTTATCGGTTTTACCCGATATATGCCCACCCCTACTTTGAGGAAGATCGATTGTGAAGAGGAACACTCCCATATTTATTTTGTTACGTTAGTATTTCAATTGCCACTATCACTGTAGTAACCACCCCATTTATTAGGCAGGACCATTTTTCTCCGCGGACGGAGCAAAAAGTGGAGTCTTGGTCAGAGCAGACCAAAACCGGGTGCAAAAAACCGAAAGCCCTTCTTTTATTTAAGTTCCTCCCAAATACATGGGAGAATACCAAATAGGGAATGAAGTAAAACAGCATCAAATAAGTTTGCGTAGATCATATATCCAAAAGTTAGCAAGCAATAAAGACATATGAAATATTTTATATCGAGGTCGGAATGGGATCGGGTATTTTCACGTCTTACAGTAGTGCCCGCTTTGTCTTGATTTTCGATTGATGAACAAGAAGGAAAATAAAACAATTCTATTTTTGACTCTCCCTCGGCTACGTATCCTTTGGACCCTTCGCCTGCCCGCCACCAGTGGAAGCAAGCTAGCCCCCTATGTTGGAAAGTTGGGGGAAGAGTGCATTCCATCGCGAGCACCACTAGTGTCGTTCCGGCACTTTGAGTTGTTACCAATAGTAGTGTAAACAACATCCTCGAAACTAGCGCATGCGATATCCCTCGGTGTCTTTATGGTAACCAGCATGCGTTAGGGAAAGAGTATAGCAAGCCGAAGGCGATCCCCATAACTGATCAAAATGTTGCAATGTTTCCCTATTTTTGGACTAACGGGATTGCTGAAAATAAATAGCAGTCATAAAAGAAAACATAAATGGGAAAAATAGAACAAAAGCTAAAAAATAGAAAAAAGATAAATAGCAATCTTCATCTATGAGAGGTCTCATATCAACTCTACTATTCCCTCAATATATATATATATATATATATATATATATATATATTGTATGTTATTTCATTAGTTGGGATATTGTAAGTAAACAACACCTATAAATGGCATAGTTTTGTTTACTCTCTATTTAGCTCAGGTAATGTAGGGTATTACTACTTACTAGTATTATTTATGGATCAATATATTAAAATGAGAAATTTTTCACAAACCACTATTGTTTAGTGGTTATTAGCTAGCTGTAGCTATCATTTACTATATTACTTCATATAGCTATGTTTTCAATTTTTTTAGAGTGTATTCGATGTATTTAAGCTACTGTATTCATGAATACAGTAGCAAAACTCGGCGTGAAACAGGGGAGTACAACTAGGCAATTATTGTATTCGACTGTATTCACGATATGTATTTGTGAATACAGTAACGTAAATAGCGTAAA